TCTCCAATTGCATCAGAAGTAGTATCGATTTGGAAAATATTAATGATATATTTAAATCATTATGATAGTCTCTGTTATGCCATGTATTTAGACACCATCTGAATTCCTTAATGCCATATTTTAAACAATTTAACTTACACTAGAATATAAGTTATTCTATAAGGTACACAGGATTTCCTTTACAGAACTCCATTTTCCAGCTTGACTTTTACAGAAAAGACAGCTTTCATTGTATTAAGCGAAAACGCAAGGCCAGGGATGAAATGTGAGTCGAGTACCTAGGACCATGCCTGGCATATTGTAAGTGCTCAGTAAATGCTAGCTGCTGTACTGTCACCACCTTCATCATCATCGCCACATTCATCATCACAACCATCATCATCACTTTCACCATCATCACCATCACCACCACCATCCTCCTCCTCCTCATCATCGCTACCATCATCATCACCACCATCATCATAATCACTGTCACCATCACCATCATTGTCATCATCGCCAGCATCCTTATTGTCACTGTCACCATCAACACCATCCTCACCCTCCCTAGCAGATGGTCTCAGAACAAGCATGTGCTTTCTTCCCTCTGGCAGTGTCCTCCGATACAGTGGCTCATTATTCCTTATTATTTAAGGCGTTTCCTGATGGGTATTTAAAAGACTGTTGTCCCAGACCATCTTACTTCTCTGCTCTCCCAGAATCTCGCAATATGGTCCTCCCGGCTCTCCAGGGACGTTAGGATACGTTTGAGGGGAGGAGGGGGAGGGATTGGTGTCACGTCCTCTGTCTGCAGCTCCTAGGAGAGGACTAACCGGCAACAGAGTAGGGACTGGTCAGTCCTGTGGCCCCGAGTTCCGTGACTGCAGGCAGGGTCAGTTCTAACGGGGAAGGTCCTGTGCTGGACGGTGTCGCGTGGGTGAGTGGTAGGAGGGATGGTGTGTTCACCCGTGCGGATTTTCCCCCATGGGCCCAACTTCGATTGTTCGCTTTTGGGGGCTGCGGAGAAGCGGGGAGCAGAGCAGACGGGGAGGGGAGACTGCACACTGCATGCTGCGCCTGGATGCGGCCCTCTGCTCCCCTTCCTGCTCCCCGGAAGTGCGAGTTCAGGTGGCCACAGGGTCTCCGTCAAATCCTCACCCAGTTTCTGAGGACAGAACACGAATCACATCTCTGTGCACCATCCGCTTGGCCATCCACCGACAAGCCTGTGGTTGTGTCCTCGTGTTAACGCGCCCGCTCCATTTCCTGCTCCGCCCCGCCCCTGGGTTCCTCGCACAATAAAAAAGCGGCACGCAACAAACCGCACCGAGCTCTCCTTCACTGTCTCTGTCGTGTCACATTCTTTGCCGTGTGTCCTGCATGCCGCTGCTTTGCTGCTGCACACCATGGGTGGGTGGGTCACGGGCTGCAGGGGCGGGTTCGTGGTTCCCTGGGGGGAGAGGGCAGGAAAGGCATCCTGCTTAGAGTGTCCAGGCCCGGTGAGGCTAATGGCCATTTGCCCAGAAGATAGGACCATCTCAGGCCAGGTAAGTGGCCACCTTCCTCACCTGTCTGTCATTCACCCTGGAAAAGAGAAGATGCCAGGGGAGGCGTGGGGTGGGGAGAAGAGGGACACAGAGAGGAAGGAGGTGGGGGGGGTGCACAGAACTGGGGCTATATGGAGAGGCTAGTCCCGTCATAAGCTGTGTGATCTTGGTCAGGCTGCATCCCCTCCATGAGCCTCAGTTTTCTTATCTGTAAAGTGGGATCATAACAAGAGTTTATTACAAATTCTACGGAGGTGGGATTCAATGTAATGAACCCAAGGAGCCCGACTTTGATATCTCTGTATTTTGGCAAAGTCTGTTTTTTAGTTTTGGTATTTTGGGGCTGTTCTCCAGGACCCCAAGTTCTATCTGAATCCCATAGGCAGTAGAATGGTGATATGGGTCAGTAGGAAAAACAGGGGCTTTTGGGTCCCACAGACCTGGGCTCAGATTTTCATTTAGTCATCGCTTCAGTTTTCTCTTTCTGTGTATGAAAAGACCACAAGCAACAGCCATGTATCAGCTCACAGTCGTGCAGGTGAGGCTTGGCTGGTGTCGTCCAGGCTGCTATAACAAAATATCATAAACTGGGCAGCTATAAACCACAGACATTTCCCACAGTTCTGGAGGCTGCGACGTCCACGACTGAGGCACCGGCAGATCTGGTGTCCGGCGAGGGAGGGCTGCTTTCTGGTTCAAAGATGGCGCCTTGTGCTGTGTCCTTACTCGGTGGAGGGGCCGAGCTAGCTCCCTGGGGTCTCTTTCATAAGGGCACTAATCCCATTCACAGGGGCTCTGCCCTCATGACCTAATCACCTCCCAAAGGCCATCACCGTGGGGGCGAGGACTTCAACATATACATTTTGTGGGGGACACAAACCTTTCTATAGCAGCCAGGTTCTCTGCCCAGGGTCTCACGCCCAGCATGTCGGCCAGGCTGACTGGGCTGTTATCAGAGCCTCTTGGGAAGAATCTGCTTCCAAGCTCATTCAGGCCGTTGGCAGGATTCAGTTCCTTGTTGAGGACCCAGGGCCCCGTTTCCTTGCTGGCCATCAGCTGGGGCTGCTGTCGGCTTCTAGGGGCTGCCCACATTCCTTGCCGTGTGGTCTCTGCAGCCTTAAAGCCAGCAGTGGAGACTTTTCTCCCTGGATGAATCCCTATCATGCTTTGAAGCTCTCCGACTTCTGCATCTGGTCTTGACTCAGACTGAAGGGCTCGTGTGATGAGGTCATCCCCACCTGGACACACCCGGCTCCGCCTCATCACAGAGCCTGGCCACAGGGGTGATCGTCCCATGGCACTTACAGCTCACGCTGGCACTCAAGGGCAGGGGAGGGGGATCCCGGGGCCATCTCACTGCCTAGTGATGAGAGTTGGGGAGGGCAATGGACCCCTCTGCACCTCAATTTTCCGTTCTCTAAAATGGGGTGGTGATATTTACAGAGGAGCCGAGTATCTAGCATGGAGTAGATGCTTGATCTATTTGAGGGCTGTAATTTTCACCTAACAGTTGTCCCCCAAACCCTTAATCAGGCCAAGCTTTTCCCCGTTGTTATTATTACTATTTGCAGAAGGTGTCCCAAGTGGAGACGCACCTCCCTGCAGCAGGGAGGTGGCTAGAAGCCTGGCGCAGAGCTCCTTGAGCTCACCGGGCAGAACAAGCCCAGGTGTCGGTTGGAAAACACTTTCCCTGAGTCACAGCCCGCTGAGATGCTCCTTCAGAGAGTCCGGGCTGAGCCTGGTTCTGCATTTGTAGCGAGCACCCTGGGTGGCTGGTGTGGGTGATCTGCCGGCCACACTGAGGCATCCAGCTAGTGGTCACGACGCAGGCTCTGCAGTCAGCCAGTCGGGTTTCAAAGCCTGCCCCACGGGGCCCAGAGGGGCGTCCCTGGGGGAGTGGGTTGGCGTCTCCCAGCATCAGTTTCCCCATCTGTAAGATGGGATAGTAACAGTTAGTTGCTTCACTGAGGGGCTCTGTGGAGTAAGTGCCATAATCCACTGCGGAGTAAAGTGCCCGGCCCAGGGCCTCACCTCTGCCGAGTCCTGGCTGTGAATTAACATCATTATTAGAGTCGTAACCCAGTGGCCCCAGGTGGCCTCTGGGAGTCTGGGCCGTAGAGCAGGGGCTCTGAGCTACTGTTTCAGAACAGAATCTTGTTTGAACTTCAGGGAGTGAATGGGAGAGAATGGTGATCCCCCGACCCCAGCCCGGCCCTCTGCAGCCCTCTGCCCTTTCTCTTCCTCAGAAAGCTGTCTGTGGGTGCACCTGCCCTTCCCTCTGCAGGTGATCTGGAAACGGGCCGCCCTCTGCAGGAGCAAGCAGCCTCCTGCTAGGCCTTGGGGCTGCCTCCTTCTGCCCAGGGCAGTGCCCGGGCCCAAGGGGCAGGAGGATGCCTCTGAGCAGGACGCCGTGGCTGTGGCAGTTTAAAAGAGGGTTTGTTCTTTACTGGAGTCACTTTCAGCTCCCTCTTGGAGGCGGTGCTGGGCTGACTGTCACAGAGCCCCCAACCCCTTCTCCCAGGACCAGCACATCCCCAGCTCTGTTCATGCTGGGCTTGGACGTGGCACAGGGCCACAGCAGGCCTTTGGGAGGGGACACGGCCCATGTGTCCCACGTGTTCTGCCAAGGGAAGAGAGGTGATAGCAGAGAGCCCCACTGAAAATTGCAACTTTAATTTCCTTTTGTCAGCTCAGGCAAAGCTCTCTCAGCCTCCTTGGGCTGAAAATGCCACATCCACCCCTCCTGCCCACATGCTCTGGGGGTTGGTGGCCCAGGGAGGTTGAAGTACTTCCCCTTTCTCCACTGAACACCTCCTCACCCCGTGTTTCCCGTTTCCATCTCACCTGCACGGCCTGGTTTCACGCTCAGCCTTGCTTCCCGGATACCCCTGCCCTGCCCGAGGGGCGGCTGGGGAAGGTGCTGGGCCTCGGCCGCCCCACAGGGCTTGTCAGTGTGGACACCAGTCTGGGCCCCAGACGAGGTGTGGCCTCAGGCCTGGAGGAGTCAGTGAGGCACGAGCTGGGACTTCTGGCACCTCCACTGCTCTGCTAACAGTGTTTTAAATGCCTCCAGACCCGAGGTTGGGGACCAAGGATGGGGAAGGCATGACACGGGGTGTGGCGGGTACTAAGCATTGCTCACGTGGGGATGAGAGTGGAGGGGTGATCGGGAATTCGGCCTGGCCACGCTCCAGCATGGCGGGCCTGGAGGAAGGTCAGTCTGTGCCCTGGGATACAACTGGCTGGCCCCAGGGATGGTGGCCAGGGCTGGGGGACAGGCCGGTCCCTGGGCCAGAGGCCTCCGTATTGCTGTGTTGTTGTCACAGGTGGCTTTGGACACCCTTCCCACCTCCCCAGGGGGAGCCAGGCCAGGCCTGCGCTCTCCCCATCGGAAGGGGTCTGGGTTAGCGCAGGGCAGCCAGGGGTCCCTGCCGCACAAGCCACGCCTGAGCGCTCTCCTTTCCTCCCCTACAGCCGGGCCAGCACTTGGCCCCCAGCCCGCACCTGGCTGTGTACACCGGGACCTGCGTGCCGCCCTCTCCTTCCAGCCCCTTCGCCTCTTCCTGCCGGTCCCCCAGGAAGCCCTTCCCCTCACCGGGCCGCTTCATCCGGCGGCCCAGCAGCACCATCTGCCCCTCGCCCATCAGAGTGGCCTTGGAGGGCTCCTCAGGCGTGGAGCAGAAGGGGGAGCCCAGCGGGTCCAGGGCCCCCCAGGGGCCCTCTGACGCCGAGGGCAGCGAGGCCTCTATCGACGGCGCCTGGCCCCGCAGCCGGCCCAGGGCCCCCCCCAAGGCCCGCGTGCCTCTGTCCTTCAGCAGGTTTCTGCGACGAGGCTGTCTGGCCTCGCCCGTCTTCGCCAGGCTCTCGCCCAAGTGCCCCGCAGTGTCCCACGGGAAGGTGCAGCCCCTGGGGGACGTGGGCCAGCAGCTGCCACGACTGAAATCCAAGAGAGTAGCAAAGTAAGAGCCAGGGGGTGTGCTGTGCGTGCACCGGGCCCCATGGTGCCCTGGGTGCTCTGGAGCTGGCGGCTGGGGTGGGAGGGCTGGAGAGCAGATACCCGGATGGGCCGCTCAGATCCCTGGGCCCCCAGAAGGTCTCCAGAAACTCAGTTTGTCCTCCCCTCTCTTCCCGAGAAGGAGAAGGAGCAAGCATCTTTCTTTTCCATCTTTTCCCCCTTCTAAGCTCTGTTGCTCACCCTGCCCCTTCCCAAGACTATTAGTCCAGTAAATCCATTGCATTTGTAAACAGCAGGGAAGATTGGGGGCAGCAGTGAAACCCGCAGGTGGTAGGATGCCCAGGGCATGGTCCAGGGGCTCAGCCCCTCCGCCACCTAAGTGCCTTGCCTCCCTTCCCCCCACCCCTCCCGCATCCACCGGCACCATCTCTCAGAGGGGCTTGTGGAGATCCTCGTTCCAGCAGTCGTGTCTGTGAAAATGAAAGCGCCTGAGCGGTGGCCCCTCTAAACTCCACTGGGCGTGGTCCTGCAAGGCTGACCTCCGAGAGCCCGAGGTGCCTCGAGGCCGTCCGCGGGTGCAGAACTGAGGCTCTGCGGAGTGCTTGATAAAGCCTGGACCAGCGCCAGGAAGAAAAATTGCAAGCAACGCAAACCAGAGAACCAGCCCCCCACCCTATTGGGTTTTAGGGGAGGCGGTCAGGGGCAGCCCTGCACCAATCACCACGCTCCTGTGTTTGCCCTGCCTGGGCTTGGAGCAGGGAGCGCCATGCAGAGTCTTAGGTTGCCGTGGATACCCGGGGAGCGTGGCTTCTGCCTGCAGTGTGCCCAGCCACGTGGAGGTTGTCACTTGCTCCCGCCTGCGTTGCTGGGGGAGAGGGAGGGCGGGTGGCTCTGGGTGCCTTAGCAGAGGGACAGGATCCCGTGTGAGTGCGTCTATTGATTTTTCCCGCCTGGCCTTGCCGAGGGAATGTTCTAGCTCTGTGGCCACTGCTATGCCTCACGCACGGGCTTTTAAAAGGCTCTCTTCTCAGGGGTCCCCACTTCCTCAGAGGGCAGTTTAAAGGGCCGGCATGTCCTACAGGGACGTCCTGAATTCATCAAAACCATAAAAATTCAAGCCCTTTGGAAATGAAAATAAAGCATCTTCAGAATTATCTTTAATTCAACAGACAAATATGAACCCTCAATAAAAGGGGAAAGGAAGCCAATTGCTGGGCACACGGCTCTTGGTAAATGCACCTGGGCACTAATCTCCAGGGATGTCAGGATAATCTGGGATTTGTTGTCCCTCCTGCCCCTACATTACTTGCTTTCCTCTTGCCCCTGAAGCTTTTTCCAGATCAAAATGGACGTGCCCACGGAGAGCGGGCTCTGCCTGATGGACTCGGAGGACACTGCGACAGGAGAGGCGGGTGACCGGGCCATAGAGAAGGAGGTCATCTGCCCCTGGGAGAGCCAGGCCGCGGGGAAAGCAGGCTGAGCCAGGGGCTGGACCAGGAGGACGCTCCCAGCAGGCGCCGCAGGGTGGGGCCACAGGACACGTTTTCTCGAGAACCAAAGCGGTTAGGATGACGTCTGAGGACGGGAGAGACAAGGGCTGGTGGATTGTGGCAAAGGATGCTCTGGCTGGCTCCCAGTGGCCAACTCTCCTCCTCCTCCTCCTTTCCCTCCCTTGGGCAGAAAAAAGGCATGTGGACCAAAAGACTTTCCTTGCTGCCTTAAAACCGATAAAAGGTTAACTTGCAAGAGCTTCTTGGATTGGAATGTTAGTGTGTGTCTGGTTTTACTAGCTATTTATGAACGATTATTTATGAGTTAAACTCATTTCTCCTTCAGTTTCCTGGACAAAGGATGTCGTCGGGTCACTTCCAAGAGCTCCCTCGCTGTCTAAATTGGTTTGTGCATGAGGCTTCATCAGCTAGGCACCCCAGGGCTGCCCCGGGGTGTCGGAGGAGGGCTGGGAAAGACACACTCCTAGAACGCCAGGCGTGTTCATTCGGATTCTCCAAGAAGCAGACACGGAGACGCGATTTGATGGACCAGAGATTTGTTGGGGAAAACACTTGGGGAAGATACAGGGCCCACGCTGGAGAAGACGGGAGTTAGGGGCTCCGGACTGTGCAGGTGCAGCGGTGACCTCTGGGGAAGGAGGGGTGGGCAGGGAGAGTCTCCAATGGCAACGTGGTTCCAAGAAAGTTTTGGCGAGGCCACTGTGGTGTCCTTAACCAAAATCATGGTCGGAGGGGTCCTGCATCTCCTGGGAATGGTCCTGCATTGCACCCCCACTATGCACCATCACTGTCTGGGAACCCTGTGAGAAGCCCGGCCGTGGCGTGGACACACTGGTGGGTCCTGAGCCACAGCAGCCAGCCCATCAGCCCACCTGCTCCCTGGAGTAGGGGCTCTGAGCACTCACTTCCATGTCCACTCTACCAGGCCAACAGGCACTTCCAGAGGTTTGCCCCCCACCCCACCAACCTCTTCCCTCAGTTACTCATTCAACAAGTATTTATTGAGTCCCTACTATGTGCCAGACGCTGTGCTAGGCCCTGGGGAGGTAGCTGTGAGTAGGAATCCTTGCCTCATGGAATTCATCTAGCGCAGTGGTTCTCCAGCAGGTCAACTTTGCACCCTCCCCCAGACATTGGGCAGTGTCTGGAGACATTTTTGGTTGTCAAGACTGGGGCAGCCGGTGGGGGTTGCTATGGCATCTAGTAGGTAAAGGCCGGGGATGCTGATGAACATCCTCCAATGCCCAGAACCGCCCCCCAACAAAAGATTGTGGGTCCAGAATATCAGTGGGGCCACTGTCTTGAAACCCTGAACCAGAGGCTACAGATTACACCCTTGCCTTTGGTTTCTGCCCAAGCCCTGGAGCACCAGTGGGTCCTGTTGGGATGATAATTGGATTGGACAGTGGGTTGAGGTTAAGGGCTACATGGTGAATGAAACGATTCTTAAAAGTCGCATGGAAGGTCCTCACAGGAGAAAAAAATGAAGTGGTTTGCCAAACCACCCATTACGTTCATCTCCTTTAACCCCCACCTTCATCAGAATTCAATTACTAGATAAGAGCCCCTGACTTGCTTTTAACCTCTGACAATTTATCTTATTTGGCCCATAAATACTGGGGCTGCTGATTCACCTCTCTGTGCACTTCTAGAAGTAAATGTTGGGTAGGTTCCTGGCTGAAGCCTGGACTTGGTGATCCCTGCAGGGAAACCACGGCACTTCAAAACTCACAGAGCATTGCTCTTTCCAGATTCTACGATGTCTGTTCCCTCAGGCTCACCAAAGGGTCATTCCTCAAGGGTTGAGGAAACTTGTCTCCCAGAAAATAAGTGAAGTGGTCTAGGTCTTTCTTGGAATGTGAATGGGCTGATTAATTTGATGCCTTTATTTGCAAAGCTGGTCTAAAATGAGACTAAAGTTGAAGCAGTCCGTACCCTAAGTCTATGACCAGCCGGTGTGTCGAGAAATAAGGAAAATCTCAACCCTAGATGTGGATACTAGTGTCTATGGGGCTCCACTCCTAAGCCCCCAGGGTCCTAAAGAGAACCTAAGCCCACGTGGTTTTGCAGCCTTAATGACAAGGCTCCAGGATCCACAAGTTGGGTTAGGTGAAGTCCAGGCTAAAGTTCAGTAGTAAACAGACTGCAGAGGGAAGGAAGTGGTTCAGACATGGAGTGTCTGTCTCTGTCACATAGTTGCCCAAAGGCAGGAGGGCAGCTCAGGGCGCATGAAGTCCAGGGAAGAGAAGAAATTCAGGGACCAATAGTTTTTTATAGTGTTGCTCCATCCAAGTCCTAATCACAGGTCTGATGCTTCTCTGTCTTGTCTGGACATTAGAATCCACCGGGGGACCTTGGAAGATCCTAATGTACAAGCCACATGGAATCCAACCAGGTCAGAATCTTTGGGGATAGAGTCTCAGCACCAGGAGTTTTTTTTTTAGAGCCTTTCCCAGGTGATTCCAATGTCCAGCTGAGGTTGGGAACCACTGCCCTGAGGTAGTGATTGAAGCTGGTTCCCCACCCCACGCCCACGTCCATGCCCAGGGAGCTAATGGGAAAAGAGGAAGTGGTGGGAAGGCAGCTCCTTCTTAAGTTCACAATCAGGAAGTAGCATGTGCCATTTCCACTCACACCCATTGGTCTGGCCTTGGTCACACGGCCACACCTAGCTGCAAAGGAGCCGGGAAACGGAGCTTCTACTTAGGCCAATGTGTAAGTAGCTAAACTTCTGGAGGAAGATGGGGAGGATGGATATGGGTGGTCTCTCCCATAGTGGAGCCATTCCACAGTCTTGGGGGCAATGGAAAGTATGGTGGAGGTGGGGCGAGGGGAGACAGGAGTGGCTGCTTAGTTTTTGCTTGGCCAACTGCTTGGTAAATGCCTATAAATGCTGCTATGCTCTATGCCGAGGTTCGGTGGCTTTTCACTCTCTCAGACTGAATGCCGGCACGGTGGCAACACCACGCACAGTACTGGGGTGAAGCTGATTCCCCCGTGGAGCTGCTGTCCTGGCTCTGAAGCCAGCTGGGGAGGTTGGATCTCCGAGCTGCAGGTGCAGCCAGGGGTGGGGGTGTGAGAGCCCTGCCCTGCCCCCTTTCAGCTTGGATCAGCTCCTTCATTCCTCATCTGTGAACTGGGGGTGACAATTTGACCCTCATCACAGGTCTATTTGGAAGCACGTAGACTGAGATGATACATATATAACTTTATTGCCTGCTCTGAAGTTTATATGGTGCAAGAAGAAAACAACTTTATTTTTTTTTCATGTAATGCTTCCTTTAAACCTATACTGTCAGTTGCTTCTTTGCCCACGTCTGGAGGAAAACTCTGAGGAATCCCCTCACTTTTCTGGTCACTTTCAGATAATAAAAATCCTCCAGGCACTATCGGTGACAAGAACACTCTCAATTTAGCTCTGTATGCAGTTCAAAAATGAGTGAAATAAAGAAAACCCAGAATTTCATCCTGAGTTAGGCTCCTTCCCTCCTCCAGCCTGGGCTGTTCCAGGCCAGGATGGCATTTGGGGGCTGCGGGAGAGGGAGGGGTGGGGCGGGAGAACACGAACATGCTCAGTTGACCAAAACGGATGAGGTTCATCCTAGTGCTCCTGGGACCCCCTGCTGGCTCGTACTTAGGTGGGCTTTTCCCAGGTTCATGGGGCCCGGCCTCAGCCTCTTTGGTCAGCCGGGCCACAGCTCTCCTCCAGCCGCTGCACGGGGGTCTCTCGCAGCCCATGGCCCACACCTCGCCTGTGGTCACATCCCTGGTCGTCTGGAGCAAGATTCAAATGGCTGCGGGCGGCTCCCTTCTGTGCAGCCCTTGCCCCTCCAGGACAGCCCTGTCCTCTTTCTCTCATGGCCTCTGCGGACCTCAGCTCTCCTCTTCACCCCAAGACCGCTGAGTGGCCCCCCAAAACCCCTCACTCCACTCAAGAGACGGCAAAGCTGCCCCTTCCCAGCAGTGGGTTTGCAGGAGCGACTTTCAGACCAGAGCCTGTGCGAGCGCTGCCTACGGGGCCCCGCACTCCGTTTAGTACAGAGCAGGTAGTAGGCGCCTACTATTTATCCCCAGCTTTTGGGGTCCCAGCAGACACGGAGACAGAACCCCGTTGTAACATCCCATTACACTGGTCAGAGTTCCAGGACGCGGTTATTTTCCTTCTCTTGCGGATCTACAAGCAGAGTAGGTTTCTCCCGGGTTCTTAAGGCAGTTGGTTGCCCCTTTGCCATCTGGGGAGGGGACCTTTGGTGGCCCATTAAGGCTGTGGCTTCGTCGAGCCTGAGAGCAGGTAGTGCTGCTTATGTGCTCGGAAAGAAACGAAGAGGATCATTAGAGTGTACAGGCCAAGTCCCCGAGAGGTGCCTGGGTGCCCCGCAGAATTGGGTTCAGGTGCGGGGAAGAGGGAACCTAAACGCCTCAGCTGCGGAGGCTCAGCCCTCCGCTCTGGGCGCTGCCACACTTCACCAGAAGAGGGCGTCCGAGGCTCACAGATCCCCAAAGAGAGGCGGCTGGGATTTTCCCTTAAGAATTCAGAGACCAGTGTTGGAGAAGAGAGGAGAGGGACTGTCTTCATCTTGCAGATGTGATTTCCCTGCTTATTAGTGGTAGAAACACTCCAGCTGAAGCCTAATGCACTTTCTTCCTCTCTCTCCCTCTCTCTCTCTGTGTAATATATTCTATTACGTATATTCTCTGTAGGTACATTTTGAATCCTATGACAAATCCTCTGACACTACGCTTAGGCTGGGCGCAGTGACTCACGCCTGTAATCCCAGCACTTTGGGAGGCCGAGGCAGGACGATCACTTGAGGCCAGGAGTTTGGAGATCAGCCTGGGCAACACAGTGAGACCCTATCTTTACAAAAAATATGGAGAAATTAGCTGGGTATGGTGGTGTGTGCCTGTAGTCCCAGCTGAAGCAGGAAGCTGAAGCAGGAAGATTGCTTGAGGCCAGGAGTTCGAGGCT